GCTACTGCTATTGCTACTGCTATTGCTGCTTGATTCTTCTATTCTTCCATTTAAATTGATATTTGAGTTTTTATAGGTTGTCTCCTTTTTAAAACAATAAAAATTCCTCACCAGCTGGAAACACTTTCTCTTTCCGTATCCTTCCGTTTTGGAGCCGCCCCGACTTTGTCAGCCTTGGCTGGATTTTTTGTCGCCGGCTTGAAGAACTTCTCTTGCTTTTTTCAGAGATTTTGCGATATCCCCGAGATCAGCAAGACATATTCTTCCTGTTCACCATCTCTTCGGGACGGTTTAGGTCCATTTGGACACCCAGCGGCAAAAATGTTGGCTGTGGTCTCAGAGCATTGAGACCACACAACCATATCGTCACGACATTGGCTCCTTCTCTCTCCATTTGTGCCTTCTTATTCTCTTATCATCCCTTCCCCCTCCAATCTCTCTGCTCCCCAAAGGGGAAGGGAACAAGTTAGGCAAAGACATGACATTGTAATGTTGATCACTGTCATAATTTTGGTTGCTGAACGAGGCAATCAGTAAGCAAGGTCTACCTGTAACTACGGCCTATGCAATATGGCGATGATTGTTATTATCTTATGCAGCATAAATAAGAAAAACGAATCTGTTTTCTTTAAGGTCAGGCTGTGTGAAATTGTGTTTACATTAGTAAATAGCATGTTCTGAACAAGGTCAATTGTCTAACGATGACAGGTATTTTGGTGAGCTTTACGTGGCTTAAATTTATTTTGCCTTTTCTATTGTTTCTCCACCAGCATGACAGATGGAGCCCAGCAAGCGTTGAGACGCACTATGGAAATTTATTCTAAAACGACTCGTTTTGCTCTGGCTTGCAATGCTTCTGACAAAATCATAGGTAAGAACCATGGGCCACTTGGAAAGGAGGCGTGGGTCTCTCTCACTTATTCCTAGATTGGAAATAAATATTTCTATTATCACAATTGCAAGCATCAAAATAAAAAGAGAAGCTTAAAGGCCTTAAATATCCTTTTGCTTTATAAGGTTGAAGAAAATTCTTGTAAGGCCCAGTCGTTAGGGGCTGATGTAAGAGAACAGGTGAGAGTAATAGGGGTTCTTCATTTCCAGTGGACTTGCCTCAGAAGTTTATTCTTGGCCCTAACTCAGGGGTCAGCAACCCACAGTTCTAGAGCCGCATGTGGCTCTTTCATCCCTCTGCTGCGGCTCCCTGTCGCTCAAAATACGCATCACAACTGTCAATGTGCGACACAACACTGATGCTCAATTTACGAAGCTTTTCGATCCCCGGTAGGCGAACCGTGGATAAATCCAAGAAAAGAAACATTTCAGAAGAAAACAGAATCTTTAATTAATATGCTAGTTTTGTGGCCGCTCAGAAAATAGTCAGGCACCGGAAGAGTTTTGTGGCTCCCGGTGTTTTCTTTTCTGTGGGAAATGGGACCAAATGGTTGTCTGAGTGTTTAAGGTTGCTGATCCCTGTCCTAACTCATATGCAGACATTCTAATAACAACCAAGCTTGAAAAGCTGCTGTAAAATTGCAGTTGTAGAACGGTCTTGAACCTTTTGAAAACCACTGTGTAAATGCTTTGTGAGATTGGACATGTTCTCACTCGTCCATGGTGGCATTGCTTATGTAATTATTTGGCACATCATTAAGAGGATCATGTGAGGAGCCTCTGTGAAAGCCACCTGCAACATGTGCATTGGCAGGAGATCTTCCCACGTGGCTCCCCTTCAAAAACAGTCAGTAGTTTGCAGACACTGCTACAGTGATGTGAGATCAACCCCACAGTATGTAAGCATTTAATAATATGAAAACTGGTCTTGAGCCAAAAGGTGAAATAATCCCAGAATCTCCGAACCAAAGTAAATAAGATGTCTGGTGTGTGTGCTACAAACCATGCTTGGAGAGGTCTAATTGGCTCATTCAAGCAGTGTGGGATTGCATGTTTTAAAGCTAAGCCAATTAAGAAGGACTTAATTAGCATGATTTTATGCCTCTTTATGTAGGTACTGGATCTTGGTCCCATTATTGAGTTCATGGTTTCAGTGGGTGGCAGATATTTTAAATATCAAAGTACTTTAAAAATACTTTCAAAGGTCATTGAATCCAAGAGGATCCAAGCAATAGAATCACTGGGAGATCCACTTTATGCCCCACCCCACCCCCCGTTTTGGCTTATGGTTTCATGTGGGGCCTTCTAATGTGGCATCCCAAGGTATGAAACTTAAAGGAGGAGATGTGACTTTTCTCGTGCCATCTACTTTTCAGTAGTTGCTCAATATATACTTATTTATTGGAGCATTTGTAAGGTAATATCTCTTCCAGGATGGCTGCTTTTTAATGAATTTTGCTTTGTGTTACTTTGTTAATTCTGTTAAGGAGTACAGTGAAAAAGTGGGATTTAATTTAAACTAAATATAAAATAGGGTGAACTAATATCAATGGTACAACAATTAAACAGTGGAATGACTTGCCTCCAAAAGTTGGGGGTATTCCAACATTGCAGGTTTTTAAGAAGGGATTGGACAATCGTTTGTCTGAAATAGTATAGAGTTTCCTGCCCGAGGAGAGAGGTGGACTAGAAGACCTCCAAGGCCCCTTCCAACTCTTATTCTGTTAATGTAACTGCTTTATTGTGTTTTCTTATAATTGCTCTATGGATTATTTAATTATTATAAGATGTATAAAACCACCCAACTCCATAAGCCTAACCCAAACAGCAAATAACAAATGAATTATAGCAGTTAGACTTAGCAGTTAGACTTATATACCGCTTCATAGGGCTTTCAGCCCTCTCTAAGCAGTTTACAGAGTCAGCCTATCGCCCCCATAATCTGGGTCCTCATTTTTACTCACCTCGGAAGGATGAAAGGCTGAGTCAACCCTGAGCCGGTGAGATTTGAACCGCTGAACTGCAGATAGCAGTCAGCTGAAGTGGCCTGCAGTACTGCACTCTACCCACTGCGCCACCTCGTATCATATATAAAGAGTCACTAGGGACAGTGAGATGGGCAGCATATACATGTAATTAAAAAAATTATAAAATATATCAAAGAAAAAAGTCACCATAAAACAATGCAATATAAAAACACCAAATATCTATCTATCTATCTATCTATCTATCTATCTATCTATCTATCTATCTATCTATCTATCTATCTATCTATCTATCAATATAGATGTAGATATATGGCTGTGTGTGTGTGTTCCAGCATAACTCTAGAACGCCTTGAGCAATTTCAACCAAACTTGATACACAGATGACTTACTCTGGAGACAAATTCTGTGGGGGTAAGACACCCCTAACGCCCCCTCGGGGGTGTTCTGTTAAGATGCAGCCTGTTGCGCCTTTAAATGGCTGCTACTGTACTGCCATTAAATGGCTTCTACTGTACAGCACGGTGGAGTTGCCATGGTAACAGCTTCACAGTACACCACAAGGGGGAAAATCCAACATTAGAAATTATGTTTGGTCCGGACATTTTCCCCTTATAAATAAATATCCAGGCAACGCCAGGTTATCGGCTAGTATACCAGGAGCATAGCAAAGCAATCACAAGACAATTCACGCCTGGTCGTTAAGAAGCTTTATTTATTTATGCACTGCTGTGGATTCGCTTCACAGGAGGAGCAGTGCACAAGTAAAAGTAGTCTTGGTTTTGAATACCTTTAAGGAATGATGTAGCAGGGGACTCTGACGTAAACAGAGATTTGGGCAGGAGCAGTTCCTGGAAACCTGTGGTTTTGGTTTAGTGAAAGAGGGTAGACATCAACATCCCCTGTGCTTGACTGCAGTTTCAAATCCAAATCTAGAAAGGATGTTGACCATTCTCTTGCAGTAGTTGGTGCTAAAACCAACTTCCTTTTATGCAAAGCAAAGTACATAGGCTAAATTGCAAAGAGATTATATTCCCACCATTGAAACCTGTGGGTTCAATTTCTGGCATTTCCCAACAGGGTTAGGTGTTAGGTGAAATGCCTATCTCAAATCCTGGTAGCTGATACTGATCACTGTGGATATTTTAAAGATAAATGGACAAATGGTGCTGAATATGATTTACTTCCAGTGTTCCTAAAACAACGGCATTTAATTCAATGCGTTAAATTGCATTAAAACAATTAGGCATGAAAGCCAACTGGATGACTGGGCCAGTCACACTCTCTTAGCCCAGTTCACTTCATAGGGGTCTTATTGTGGAGGGAAAAGGGGGAAGGAGTACATATAGTCTTTGAATTACCACCGTTCATTTAGTGACTGTTGGAAGTTACAACTGCACTGGAAAAGGTGACTTATGACTGTTTTTCACACTTACGACCATTGCAGCATCCTCGTGGTCCCGTGATCAAAATTCAGATGGTTTGCAACTGTCTCGTATTTATGACAGTTGTAGTGTCCTGGGGTCTTGCGATCACCTCCTAACAAGCAAGGTCAATGAGGAAGCCACATTCACTTGACAACTGAGTTCCTAAATTAACAGCCGCAGCGATTATTTAACAGCTGTGACAAGAAAGGTTGTAAAATAAGGTAAAACTCACTTAACAACTGTCTCACATTAGCAGTGGAAATTTTGGACTCAATTGTGGTCATAAGTTGAAGACTACCTGTATTCGGTTATGTCTGGCACCTTGCATTATTTGTAAAAGTAATAAAGACAAGAAATAAATGTAATTTCATTCCTAAATTCACTGCCCTCTAGAGCCCATCCAGTCTCGCTGTGCAGTTCTGCGATACACCAAGCTAACAGATGCCCAGATTCTTATGAGGCTAATGAAAATCATCGCGAAGGAGGACATACAATATACAGATGATGGTTTAGAAGCAATTATCTTCACTGCCCAGGGAGACATGAGACAGGTGGGTAGTGTCTTCCTGCAGCTTCTTCTTTAATTCTGTCAGCATCCAAAGATGAGACATGAATTTGCTATTGCGAAAATTAAATTGCTTTGCCATATGGTATGTTTTTGTTGGGTAAAATTGGGCACTGGATGGACAGAAAAGACTGGTGACATATAGTGCAGATATAATATTGATGTTGCAAAAAACATGACAAAAGCTTTACAAGAAAGTTGCTGATTTGAAAATGTATTGTCTCCCTCCCTCCCTCTTCCCTCTCTCCCTTCTCTTCCCCCCTCTCTCCCTGTCCAACAACATACCCAGTTATTAATGGTTGGATTAACTTTCATTATACTAGCTGTGGCAGTTTTTACAGCTGACAATGCAATCTCTTTTGTGAACACAATATAA